TGCCGAGACGTGTCGCGACACCTTGGACCGCTGGCAGGGCACACAGGATCGAGCCCAACCCCGGCAGTCCACGTTCATCGACGGCCAAACGTAGCGCTGCGCCACGAGTTTGCCCGTCGACCTGATTCCCGGGTGCGCCAGGCCGTGCACCAGGTCGAATGCGGCCCGACGGAAAGGCCTTGTCAAATATGGCCTCGGTGTCGGCGTCGCTGTGTCGCAGTAGAGCGCAACTCCGGTTCCGGGGATCTCCACCTTGCTCAGCCTTAGTCCCGTCTCCCGTCTTAAATACTTCTCGAGCTCCTCATCGGTCCTCTGTGATTCCGCCAGTGCGGCGTAATTCATAGGAGTTCGGAGCTCCTCGATTCTCGATAGCGCGTCCGCCACGACATTCTCCTCGCCCGTCACGTGCCGGATGTCCGTCGTAAATTGTCCGATGTAGTCTAAGTGGCGGAACTGGCGCGGCGTGCTCCTCTCAGGTTTCTGTCGGAAAGCAAAGATGATTGGCTTATGGTCGGTATATACCGCGAACGCGCGCGCTTCCAGCATGTGCCGAAAATGCTTGACCGCCAAGTATATCGCTAGTAGCTCCCTATCAAAGGCGCTATACTTCGATTCGGCTGGGCTTAGCTTCTTCGAGAAGAATGCTAACGGCTCCCAGCCGTCGCTGCCCCGCTGTTGTAATGCCGCGCCGATGCTTTGTTCGGACGCGTCAGTAAACAACGCGAGCTCCGCGTTCGTCCTTGGGTGCCTCAGAAGCGCGGCCTCGGCCAAGCCTTCCCTCGATGTTTCGAATGCTCGTTGAGTCTGCTGCGTCCACGATATCGGCGTCTTGCCCTTAATGTTTTCTCGAAGCAGGTCATTGAGCGGTGCCAAAATCTCGGCAGCTTTAGGCATGAATCTTCGGTAAAAATTTACCATGCCTAAGTACCTTCTCAATTCCTTCGCGGTCCTCGGCATCTGACACGCGAGGATTGCCTCCACTCGCGCCGGCAGCGGTCGTGTTCCTTCGTCGGACACCTCGTATCCGAGGAATTCCACCCTTCGTTGTCCGAATACGCACTTCGTGGGGTTGATCACTACCCCGTATACTCGCAAACGCTCAAACACCGTCCGTAGGTGCTCGTGGTGTTCTTCCTCTGACGATGACGCGACGAGGATGTCATCGATGTATGCGTAGCAGAATTCAAGGTCGCGCAAAACCTCATCGATGAACCGCTGAAACGTTTGTGCCGCGTTGCGTAATCCGAACGACATGTATGGAAATTCATACATGCCGAACGGCGTGGTGATCGCCGTCTTCGGGATGTCCTCCTCCGCTACCGGTATCTGGTGGTATGCCCGCACTAGGTCCAGCGTGGTAAAAATTTTCCTACCGCCGAGGGCCTGCGCGAAATCCTGTATATGTCGCACCGGGTAGCGATCCGGGACCGTTCGCGCGTTCAGCGCCCTGTAGTCTCCACAGGGTCGCCACTCTTCGTCCTTTTTTGGCACCATGTGTAAGGGCGCCGACCAACTACTCCTTGAAGGTCGCGCGATTCCAGCTTCCACCATCCTTCTGAATTCGTTCTTTGCGGCCGCCAATCGGTCCGGAGCGAGCCTTCGCGGCCTACACGCGACAGGCGGTCCCGGTGTCGTTTCTATATGATGTCGCGTTGTGTGGATCGTTTCTCTTGGGCGCCCGTTCGGCCTCGCGATGTCCGCGTACCGCTCCAACAGCCGGTGATACGGCGTCTCTCCCGTGACCGCTTTGACGCAGGGTGCATTGCATCGGATGCATCGTCCGCGCGCGGTCAAGCTCGTCACCTGGTCGACGAGACGAGAATTTCGCAGATCGACGAGGAGTCCGTAATGCGCCAGAAAATCGGCGCCGATTATAGGTCGCGAAACGTCCGCGATCACGAATCGCCACAAAAATGCACGTCGTAATCCAAAATTTAAAACTAATGTTTCTGTCCCGTATGTACATATTGGTGTGCCGTTCGCGGCCGAAAGCTCGTAGGTCGATCTCTGTCGCGGTCCCCGAACCATTTTCCGAGGATACACGCAGAGATCCGCGCCCGTGTCAATTAGAAAACTCACTTTTGTGTTCGCGTCGGTCACGAACAGGCGACGCGCCCCGTGGCCTGAGTCACTCGCCGCCACTAGCGACCGGCCCCCGCGTTTCCCGACTGCATTGTGCAGGGCGGCCTGCATTGTCGAGCACTCGGTCCAAATTGCCAGTGATACCAGCAGATTCCACTGGCCGGCGGATCACGGCTTCCTGATCGCTCTCGCGGGCGCGAATGCGAACGCTGGCGTGGACGCGAACGCGAACGACGTCGGTCGTCATCGCGGTCCTCTCCGAAACGACCGCTCCCGATCGCCTCGATCGACCGCCGGATAGCTGTCAGCTGCTCCGCCATCTCTTGTTGCATGGCCAGCCGCATCTGCGCGAGTCGTACTTCCATCCTCGCTTCCCAGGACGCGGGGTCAACCGCACTCTGACCCTGGGGCGTCACAAATTTCGTCGCCTCCGCCACTTGAAATATCGGCGCACGGGTCGCCTCGACTATCGCATCCGCGATGTCCGCTAATTGTTCGGGCGTATCGGCCGCGCGCGTCACTAAATGCGGCTGAAGATGAGCCGGCAACCGACTCAACCAGATGGTCCGCAACACCTGGTCGCCAACCACGTTCCCGGCAAGACCGCGAAGGTGGCGTAAAAATTGCGATGGCTTTCGATCGCCAATCTCCTCGTGTTCAAGGAGCCTCCGAGTCTTGTGCTCCTGCGACAGACTTAGTCGCTTAACTAGCTCGGTTTTCAAAGTCTCGTACGCGCGCTCCGGGGGCGGATTCATAATTATATCGCGCACTTCGGTGGTATAACGCGGTCCGAGGGCAGTCAACGCGTACCCGAACTTCGTCGCGTCGACCGTAATTCCGGCGGCCTGGAAACCCCGGTCGACGATGTTAAACCAGAGCTCCGGATCCGTCGGCGTGAACTCTGGCATTCGCATGCCCACTCGACTCACCTCGGGGGCAGGTAAATAATACCCCGGTGGCTGCTCCGCCCGGGCCGATTGCATCGCACTCAGGTGCGAATTCGGCGCCTGAATCCCCGGCCGCTCGAGCGCCCGCGCCTCCGGCTCCACGCGTGGAATAGCGTCTTCGCCGTCTCGCATCACCGGCATGTCACTCCTTTTCCGTCCTCACACACTAGACACTCGATCGCGAAACTATCCCTGCACTTCGCGTATGCACGATCACGTCGGGGTCACCACTTTAACTACCTGACGTGCCAATTGATCAGTGCAGGATGTAATATGCACATATATAAGAAAGAGAGTGTGTGTGTGAAAAGAATCGAGGCCTTTTAATGTTCGGATCCATTTAATTTTACGACTTTCAATCGATACAGATTTTTCCTTCGGTCGCACGTCCGCACGCGATAACTGACGGGGGCCGAATCTCTCGAACCCGCGCTATCTATTCTCTTCCTGCCCGTTCCTACGACCTTCGAGAATCTTCTCGACTCATCCTTTTTAATTTCGCTTGTGTTATTGTTTTCGAGTCTCGATTATCGTCTTTGTCTCCCCGTTTTGTCCGTTGTGTCTTTTCACTTGTTTATTTTGTCTCGCGTCTCGCTTTTCCTTTCGTCCCGCGTAAGCTTCGCATATATGTAAACTGGGGAATATGTGACGATATAATCGCCACAAATATAAGACGCTATTATTCGCACATGATCGTATCGCATAACTATACGATGCAGATACTTGTCTTAAATGCAATTAGTTTGATATATGATATGATGGATTATCGGTTATCTATTATTTTGCGAAAATAAATTAATGTGATTTCAAAGTGTTGTGTTTCTTTTGCGATTCCTTTTGCGAAAAATTGGATTAAAAATAGAACCATTTACCGTATTTATAAAATCGCTTCATAAAATCCATACAAAGTGAAATCGCAGTGAAGAATATTTACTATATTAATATGACGAGGGTCGCGTTCAAGAGTATTCTGCGTGCAAGCGATGAATTGCGTCACGTAGTGGGCCATTAGCTGCTTGAGAAAAGAAAGAAGGAGGAATGCTGAAGGACGGTAATGAGGTAGAATAAAGAGCGAACTAATTCGAAATTTCGTGCGCGTCACTGACGGCGATCGACCGGCACGCTTGGCGCGAGAAGAAGAGAGAACGGAGAGAAGAGGCGAAATGGAAATGCCGGGACCGGGCCTGTTCAACATTCTAAATATTTTAAAAGTTCAACTCATTTGAATTGGAACATCTTTAGACGTGTCTCGCTCTCTCGCTCTGCACCTCCTGCTCCCGACTGTCTCCCATCGGCTAGATCGTCGCGGAGTTCCCTGTACTTATCGCGCTTCCTACCGCGCTCTCGCCTGCTCGGCTTTCTTCTCTTCCCGACCGATTGATTTAGATTCTTGAAACTTTTCGCACTCGAGTTTTGTCGCGAAGACATCCTCCTGAGACCTGATCACCGAGAAAGCTTTTGGCTCGTTTAAGTCAGTAAGTAAAAATCATCGAGCACGAAAAACCCGTCAGACATTTTCTACATATTTTCGATTTTCAGTGTCAATTTTTAATATTAACAATGATTGTAATAATTGTTCATAAATTTTGTGTTCGCCATTGTAAAATTTGAGGTTATTTGACGAAGTCTGCAAGGCGATTAATAATTTATCGCGACGCACGATGACCGACATTCAACCGGGATGCGTTCACGGTTTCAGAACGAATCAGTCGCGGTCGATCAGTTCTTCGTATAGTTGCCGGAGCTTAATTCAACCACGTGAAATCTAGCCAGCAGGTAAACCGATAAGGCTCACGCGGATTTGCTGGCCCAGCGAGAAAAATCCGCTTACTCATTCGCGCCCTCGCGAGAATTTACGTTATGTTACGCCGGTTGGAATATGGATGTGTCACATTCGCAGGTAGCACGAGAGACGTCGCATATTCGCGTGTACAGATTGGCGAAATTCGCGAGTAGTGAATACTAACTCACCTGGTCACGGTTGGCGTGGAAGCTACCCCTGGGGATCGCGCTGGATAACTCCGTGGACTTCCTGACATCAAGTACTCTGCAACACACAGCGAAACGTTTGTCCTTAATGCTCTGCTGCATAAAGTCACACTCAGCAATCGAGCAACGCATCCGTCTTGCATCGGTTAACGGCGATACAAACTACACATCGTGACCAACCACGAAGTGTGATTGCAACTACGCTCTAGAACACTTTACTCAATCAGTAATACTAGTATAATGATTCTATTTATATATTGCAAATCGCGAAGATTTCAAATAAATTTCAAAAAGAACGAGATATAATTGTACTTTAATATATTCAGCTATTCATCTCAATTTATATAATATATAAAGTACGAGGGTAATTAATTGAATAAAATTTTCTTCTTCGATTAATTTGATAATTTTTCAAGATAATAATTTTAGGACGACAATTCTCTACATTGCTGTGAAGTGCAATATAGCATAAATTCTTTGGCGATACACTCAGTGAGCGTGTTCCAATTTTCTATACATTTGGTTCATAGCTGCTGCATATTGCGGCATTTTGCTAAAACATATGCTGTCGTAACTACTGCTTAATTACTTAGACAGGTAACAGGATCTGCGGCGGACGCAGATATTCCTCTACTCTCGGCAACTTGACCTGTGTCATGCAACGAGATAATTGAGTTTATTAGACGCAAGTTGTTCTCGTATTCGCAAGTGCTTTAACCCTGTTTCGAATATGGTGTTCGCGGAATTATTTAAACGGCGCGATCAAAAACGGAAGCGTGCTTACGCTACATCTAATTATTATTTTTTATGATTATTAATCAAATAAGCTTGAAAACACATGAATGTAATCAATAAAGCTCAATCGGGCTAATTAATCGAAAATGTTGAAGATCTGTCTGAACAGAGAAATCGGCCGAGTGATAAGCGCAAACGTCGGAGGGTAAATTCATAGAAATTCCGCTTATCAACGGGTAGCGACGCGCGCGCGTGCATAATTAATTTTCAAACTTTCTTTCCTGCTCGACGGCAGGTTGACATTCGTTGCTATTCGATTTAGCCTTCGTTCGCCGTGCGTGGTCCCCGATCTGTCGGTTCGTAGCGTCATGCATATTCTAGTTGATGGGTCGTCGCGAGCTGTCTTCCTTTTATCTGTATAGTTAATGCGTTCATGACTAATGTAACCATCAGTGACGTTTTGCTATCGACCGCGAATAGTCGTCTGATGCTCGTCTCACAGCGAACACAAGATCGCTAAATCTCTTTATTGGATGTGACTCCATGTTATATTCAATATTTTTTTCTACAAACACATTATCGATAATAAGTTTTCTCGCGACATTGATTGCATATATATAGTACGTGCTTATTGTTTCCTTATTATATATACGCAGAGTATATTTTGAAAAAAATATATTTTTCTGCATTTGTAGTTACAAATAGAAGATAATCAACTGTGAGTGTATTTTATTTTTTTAATAGAAACAGTAACAAGTTCTCGAGCGACTGTAATGCGAAACAAATGCCTTTCCTACACCGGAAGAAAGACTTTCACACAACGCGAAAATTGGCTGTTGAATCAATAACGAGGTTGAACAGGACTTAGCGAGCGGAATCTAGAGAGAAAGAGAGAGGAAGCGGTAACAAAATAATATAAGAAAACAAGGATGGTTAGTTCGTTCGTTTACTTTGATATACCGACATTACATCGGTTTTAGCCCATAGGTTCTTTTAACTACCGCTTTCGCCCTCTTATTTCTGCAGCAATTTGTCACTGTCTCTGTTCTGAGAATCTCTACTATTTATACGTTGAACTTCGAGTATAATTTCCAAATATATTTATTACTCGCTATTAATGAATTTTTGATACCAATTTCTGCGTTTATATGTATTTAGTGAAATATTGCATTATTTGAATATTTTTCGAGATATAATAAAGTCAGGCTGTATTCGTAAGTTCTTCATCATTTAATATATCGTAGCTACAACGGTAATGGAGCAAAGATGACGTACTGTAATTCGTTTGACAGCATACGCACGAGAGAGGAAATGCGTTCGCATAAAGCCCCGTCAATCATAAGCGCTACCGATACGATCTTAGACCGGGCATACTGCGAAATCTGCGGAACGGGATCGGAATCGTCGTGTCATCGGCACGGCCGTGCCATTCGCTAGTCGTAAGCTCAAAGGCTCGCTCGCAACACATAGGACGTAACGTTTCCTTTGTAATTCTGAGCATAAATTGGCGCGTGTCAGATGCGAATGACTCGATTCCGTTGAACCGCGCGCGTACAGTAGAGCAGATAGGTAGGTAGGTAGGTAGGTAGGTACGGAAACCTGTCGACCGGAGAGTCCTGACAGCTGGTAGCACAAAGCGACGGGTTCATTCTCACAGGGCGAGAGACTGGTTGCCAAGCTGCCGAGGCTTAGCAGCCATCCCGGCTATCGTTTGTTTCATCCGGTAGCCATGGTGATAACACGGAGAAGGTGGGCGCGACTGATCGAGGGTTCTCCAATATCTCGCATATTTTCTAGTAGCTACCCCCTCGGTGAAAGCGACGCTCCTGGCTTGCCGGACCACCCATCGAGAATATTAACGCCCACGAAAGGGATACGCCGCGTGCCTCTGTCGGGGTACTTTCGGAAGAAATAAGCCGCATGCCGAGTTGCAAGCGCGACTGTAGCGAACATATCTCCGACAATGCCAGTGAAATGAGAGCAAGTCCACCATTGTGTCAAGATTTACTGTATTTTCATATTGAGTCTTCTAAGAAGACAGTAATTCTTCTTTTTAAGGGTGCCAGCAACTACGCACGAGTATTTCCTTTTATCACGAAAAAAATACAATTGATAGTATTATCTTTCACGCTGACGTTGATAAGAATATAACGCTCAATATGTGTGTATATAATATACTGCAAAGAATTTTGTGTATATATATATATGTATAATATATTTTATTTGTAATATTAAATATATTTTATATATTGTACATAACATATACTAGAGACGCAGGAAAATAGAATTTAATCATTTAATTATTTAATATCGCATTAACGAAGCAATGATGAAACAATCTCTCTTCTATTATCTTGTCATATTTTTCGAAGTACGTACATTTCTTATATACTAAATATTTTTGTCAAATAAACTCAACGAAAACAATCAAGTTAGTAATGAGCGATCATTATCGTAGAAATCCTTAAATAAAAGATATTTCAGATTCTCTTTTGCAGTACTTCAAGAATACTTCTAAAGTTTTTCTTCATTAGCATTTGTTTCGGCCGATTTCAGAAAAATTCTCTGCGGAGCAATCTGCTCGTCAGAAACCGGACAGAAAACGATCGATTGCGTTCTATCTACGGGAGCTAAAGTCTGGCCAACCCAGCCTTCCTTCGAAAAAGTGTCATTATCTGCTAATGGCGCGGCAGCAACTAGGTTGATGCGCTCGGTCGGTTAATGACGTGACTTTCGCATTTTGCCAATGGACTATACCGATTTTATCTATACGCTCCAGTTTTACCTGATGTCCTCGGAGATTCGCGAGCATCGCAACTACCCTCCGGGAGGTTATTTAAAGGTTAAGGTCGTTTTTATTCCCGCGCCGCATTCTTATCGTTACTTCGTTACATCCAAGGATTCATTCGCTGCAGGGCAAAATATCTCCGAGAGTTACACGAGAGACAAGCCCACGCGAAATATTCTCGCATAAGAACGTCGCTGACCCAAATACGTCGCCGTCAGAATGTCGTCAAAGAGAAGCGAACATTATCGCAGTTACGATAGCCAGACTGGAAATTACGTAAGCCGAATTAAGTAAGCGAGGAACATCCCACCGCGATAAAGTTTATCCGCGCTGACAGAACGTGCCGACTAATAGCTCGCCTAAAAGCGTGCAATTTAGCAAATCGGGTGGTACTCTTGGATCGAGGAGAGCTTTCCTCCCCGTAATCGAGGGCGTACGGTCGACTGGTCTGTTCTTTATTTAATCACTGCACACGGCTCTAACGAAGACGAGTGAGCGACGTACCGGGTAGAAAACTGAACGTCGACTAGGGACGTCGACGTCAAACAAGGTCGTCGAGGGGAGAAGAGACGGTCGAAAATGTGGGCGTATTCAGGAAAAGCAACGGAAGACGAAGTGATAAGGAAAGTGATAACGAGAGTGATAGCGCAAGAGTGACAAGACCTAGTTAGAGTGACGGTCGAAAAAGGGACTGGCAAGCGGTTAGAAAAGGAGTGGAAGCAGAACTAGAAAATGGAATTTGAGGAGTCCAGGCGAGACGAAACGAAGCGAAGATAAGGGCGAAACGCACGTAAAGACAAGAGGAAAAGATCAGAGATAGGTACGTAAGTCCCTATGGATGGAGTGGATATAGTTGAGTCTGAGGGTTTCTGGTTGTTGGGTGTTTGGCTGTCGGCCAGAGAATCTCTGGAGCGCGACGGTTACCTTTTTCTCCTCCGGGAGGTCTCTTCGACTTTATACGTACGCCACGGTGAGTGTATCGCCTTTTCGGAATGTCAACTGTGTGGGAGTATGCGAATATATGCGTGTGTCAGTATGTACTGTCGAATGTGTATTGCCGAAGGTGTAGCATTTTCGCAAATTTATTTTAATTCGAGATTAGCGCAATCTTCACATTTTATCATTTATATTTATTTCGACTTTACATTTCGGACATTATTTAACTAAGCGAAATATATCGCAATTGTAAGCTCAATTAAAGCTCACGTAATAATAATACGACTGTTTGATAAATTTCTCTCTTTTTATATACGTTGATTGTGCATTTCATAAATAAATTCTCGAACGCAATAATATATCACAAAGTAAGCTAAATTCTTATACAAAACAATCGCATGTTTTATTCCTTGGATAAGATCAATAGCTTGCATTCTCGCTTTACGGTATGCGAAAAATCAAGAGAATAACTTTTTAATTTCTTCTATATTATGGACCAGTCATCCGTATTGTTTCACTCTTGACACAGAAGATTGAGTTCTGTTCTATTATATTTCATGCAATCATTTATCATCTGCTTGTGCAAGTTGTAAGTTTTT